TGCTGTCAATGTCTTGGTCAAGGCTTTTGATCCCAATCAACACCCAGTAGCCATTATTATCTTGCAACAGCATTTTTTGCTCGGACAGTAAAAGGAGCAAGAAGGCCTGTGCTATCGTGAACAGCCCGAAGCTGCTCTAAGGAAACTCTTCTTGTAAAAGATTGCACTTGTAGTGCTACTTTGAGCAAACCTGAAAAGATCCCCGCTCAGGATCCCAAATAAGACCCAGTGTCTTGAGTTGAGGCAGCTTGGACATGCAAATATTGACTTCTTTGAGTCTATCTTCAATAGGAATGTTTTCCATGACAATCAAGGAATTGATACCCATTTTCTTGCGTGCATGCCTGCCAAATTCCAAAGTTCCATGAGTTCGTGATACAGTTTGACCGCTTTGCTATCTGTCTCAACTGAATCCAAACTATCATCCATGTAATGCTTGAGGCATTAACGGTCTCTGTTGCGAGGCAACTCAGTTACATGATGTTTTGCATGTCTCTGTATTACATACTGAGCTAGTGAATGGTGAACAGTTCATTCGAAAATGACCCCAGAAAACTCGTATACCTCGGGTGGTCTACTTTTATCACTTTCTCGCCAAAGAAACCTACAGAATTTTCTTCGATCTTCTTCGGAAATTTCAATCTCGCAAATATACATTTCGGCAATGTCGCAGACAATTGCTACTGCATGTCTACTAAATCTAAACAAAATGGCTTAACAAATCAAGCTTTGTAGTTTTGGCCCAGCTGCGTGTATAACATCATTCAATGACACACCTTTCTTTGCGGAAGCATCAAAGACTATTCTAACTTTTGTTGTATCCCTATCAAGCTTTACAACAGGGAAAATGAGGTACCATTGTGTTTCAGCTTTCTCTTTCAGACACCTTCCTGATACAACTCTTTAGCTTCATACCGCTCATATCACATCTGAATAAAGCTCTGCAATAGCCTCATCTTTACTCAATTTCCTTCTCAATTATTGAATCAAAGCGGCTTTGTGCCATGTTAAAATTGTTATGAAGAGTGTGAACATTGTCAGCCATGGTATACCTCACCTGATATCGCCATTGCTGTAACAAAGACTGTTTTCTACAGATTTTACAACCTTTTCATCCTCAATGCTGATATTTTTACCTGGATGTGGAAGTGATTCAACCTCCCAAAATGTATGCATAAGTTCTTCTAAAGAACTCTCTTGCTATTTATCTTCATTTTCTTTGGACGAAGGAGTTCGATGTTGATCCAACTAACTGATTTATGCTGCCAATGCAACACCAACCCAGTGGCGTATGTCTGGCTATAGGCTCACCTGGACGCCCCATTGACGCTTTTTTGGAACAATGCAGGACTGCATAATCAACGCCCCATCAAAATATCTACCTTTGGACGGAAGGGAGTTTTGGAAATGGTATGTCGCTCAAGTGAGGGTAATGTGTTTTGTACTGCTGCCAGTCAATCACTTCTAATGAACCAGTGACCTTGGGAAGCCGTCAAGCCTGTCATCATCATGTCAACAGAGCCATCAACACTCTCCAAACCAAACTCAACTAAACAACTATCAAGCGTTTGTTTCGCCGTTTTTTAACACATTAACACATACCTTTTCCTGAGTTCCATGAAGACCCTAATTCTGCAGCTATGTCATCGTTGATGTATGCTTCAAGCGCATTCTGCATCATCTAACAATGCATTTACAGTTATTCTTCTGTTACCGTTCTTCAGTACAACTGGAATTGTTCTCAATGCACAGAAATGCCCGATTTGCTACATTGTTGGTTGACATGGTGACAGTATCCTGTTTTGATCACTCCTTTTAAGCAAAGTTACTGTCATTGTTTTCCAATATTTGATCAGATGACTTTCTTTCTATTGAAAGCATGCAACAAATGATGTATAAGTTAGCTTTACATCCATCAATACCACAAGTCTCATTCATACTGCATGCTTTCCCTCACATGATTTAGCCCCAAACAACGCTAAAACAGAGTCTTAGTTGTTTGGCCTTACCAACGACTGGCAACATCTAAATTTTTTAATTTCATACAGGTTTTGTGCAGTATGATTTGTGCCCCGGCATATATGACAACTTAAAGGTGACAACATTTGATCAGCACCAAAGAATGAATCAGATTTTGACCAACCCTTATTCTCAGATCGACGACTTGTCAGATAATCCATGTTTTGTTTCACTGGCAATTGTGAAAACTCAAATTCCTGCAACACCCATTCCCTGAGGGTTTCAACAGACTCTTGTCTTGTTGTTCAAAATGAACCGTTGGTACCGCACTCCAGCATTGACTCAGTCATCTTTTGCTTTAAAATTACATACAAACAGCCGTCACTGAGTTCCTCCACCTTGTCATTTTCCCTAAGGTTAACAACCACAACAGATCTAACATGTCTGCAAATCTCTCAAAGTTCGTAATCTTACCTGGACATATTGGTCTGTACCTTGCGAAAATTTCACTCCAGCTGCAAAGATATCTGCCTTTCGCTTACTCCCCATACTTTCTGGTCAAGTTTTCCAGGGCAATATTATGCAAGCAGAAGAACTATGTGACCTAATTCTTGAGATGAAGGTGTGCTGCCTGCTTCACCTGACAAATACTGTTTTAATTGGAGGAGTTTGTACTCCATTTGTGACACAGGTGCACTGTCTACACATGCTATAAATGCAGCACGTTTCAACTGTCATACATCTGAACCTTCTACCTGAGAAAGTCGGGATAGAAACCCGCTTTAATTGACGCCATCATAAGTCCCGCCCAATCTGTGGACTCTTGTTGCCAATACCTACTTCTTTGGTCTAATTGAACAGGAGCAGAGGTATTCTCACAAGTGAGTTTACATTTGTAGGTTTTACATTTGCAGTATCTACATTGTTTAACCTGACTGACTGCCTTGCTTCACTTGCTTTGAAACTGCTTTATCCTTGGAACAAGTTTGCAACACCTGAATAGCCACCGTGTGACGCATCTTAGTAGAACTAAAAGTTGTTGTTTAAAAACACTTGGCGCTTTAGTGACCAATTTCATCAATGCGTCTCAATTGTGTCTATTTCTTTGTTTGTTTTTCTTACAGTTTTCAAGATCTCTCCAGCTGAGTGGTAGACAAGTGCTAGGTCATTGATAATGTAAGCGAATTTTTTTTACTTTGTAATGAACAAACCTGATCTATTGCTCCTCTAATACCATTCATACAGATGCATGAAAAACCAATACTGTCCTGTGGCAACATTTGCCCAACTGCGTACTTTGTAAGAAACTCTGTAATAAATGGATCTGGATTTAAAGTTGAATTTGGCCTCAGGGCAACCTGAGACAGTAGGTGACTGAGTTAAATTAGCTTACTTTAGCAAGGAACAGCATGCATGAGTGAGCATACAAGTACAAGTACACGTATATTGAATTAAGAGATTGTTGGTTAAACGTGTCATTGGTTACATCTGATGAACATGACAACATAATATAGTAGGTCCTGATAAAATTGTGTCATAATTATGCAAGGACACTTGCACTTTTATACCTGCTTTATTTTCATGATTTACTTACCGGTAGTCACAATAGGATTTGTAGTTAGTTAGTGTTCAGTTACTGCCTAAATGGATGTATCAGGTATGGCTAGTGTTCAGTTATTGCCTAAATGGATGTATCAGGTGTCAGAGACATGTGAATTCACTAACAGTAGTTTTGGGAATCGGAAACCAAATCCACTATCGATTGTGGTGAACGACTATTGATTATAATCGAAATATATACATTTTTAATGCAATCACCAATTTTAAGGGTTTTTTCCACATTTTTTTTAATTAATGTTTTTCTATAACTGACTACTGACTGAGTTTGTTTTGCTTTTAGCAATATTCCAGCATATATAATGGGCTAACACATTGTGCCCATGCAATCGAACCGGTCTTTATTGAGGGCTTTTTTTAACGCAAGGCTAATTAATGTGTTTTTTATTATAACTAATGCTGTCATGCAATGTTATGCACGCATGCAAGAAAGACACTGGAATTGTAATTAAACAATAAAAGTGGTTCAAATATTACAATGTGCATAGCTTTATGCTGTTGAGCGCATGTTTGTTTGCGAATATTCGTCAAATTTGATGGTTAGTTTACTTCATTCAAGGGTGCTATACAAAAACAACAAAATTTCGATTATTCAAAAATATGTTTTTTACAATCGATAATCATTTTTAATCCTTCTTTCGACCGATTTTCGATTATTTTCGATCATCGGAACATCACTAACTAACAGAATGGCCAGGCTCACATGCTGAGCTATGCCACTAAGGAGACATGTGAAGAAAATATTGTGGCAATGTTAACAGTGTAAGGTGTGGAGTCGTGAAGGGACACAACACCCAACTGTCGGGGGCTATCCGGAGGCAGTAATAAGCACAGTTAGAATCTGAGGAGAAAATACTGATCCATATTTCAATACCTTCGAAGGTGCTGCTTTGATTCCCTTTGAGATAAGTACGATCCTTCACTCTGTTTCGCTTCAGTGATTGTCTGCTAGTGATGTGTGTCATGTACTTGCATTCCAAGCCTCACTTTCAAGCTGGATGTAGGGAAATGTGAAAAAGGTCAGTAATAAGGGTGTGAGGAATTCGGTAATGACATAGGTTACATGTTACTTTAGGTCTTCCAGCCTTAAATGGATCTCACCCAATGACACGTGAAGATCCAGGTTAGGTTTGATCTTCAGAAACTCATGCTTATGGTAAGAGGTTACGAGATCTGGTGGTCAGGATCGCTGACTTGGTTGACACATGTCATCATTATCCCAATTGCATAGATCAATGCTCATGCTCTTGATCACTGGATTGTCTGGTCCAGACTCGATTATTTTCAATTGGTTAACTTGTGAATGAGGTGTGACGTTAAATTGATATGAGATCAACAGAACATGTTTATTTTGTGATGTTTAACTTTCATGATATGTTTTGTTTGGAAGACTTGAATGCTTACAACTGGTTCTCTGTTACCAGGTGGTGGTCTACCGTGACATTGCATCATGGGAAACTTCGGAGGTCATACCCTGCCTGGGTCGTTCTTCATCATCTTCGCCTTGTGGTACTTAGTTCGATTGTTCCAGTCGTACTACAGCAGTAGGCAGAGAAATACCCGTTTTACCTCCAGGGTCATGATGACCTGCCCGTGTCTGCCCGGCCGCTTAAAAGTTTTGCCAATTGAAGCCTTTGTGAAAATATTCCTGATTTCTATTGGTTTCAGTCTGGAAATATATACTGGAATGAGTCATGGAAAATTCGTGGCTGTTGGAAATGGGCAACATGCAACAATGTTTTTCTTTTTCGGCTTCACAGGTGTTGTTGACATTCTTCAATATTACCGTGCCCCGATACCCCCAAATGCAGAATACATAAGCTATTTTATGGCCTTTATCGTTGAAGGATTACTGTTCAAGTTTCACCTCCATGGAAGGTCAGAGTTGGATGTGTTAGTTCACACTTTCTTGGTCTATGTCATTTTTACCAGCGCCATAAGTGTCCTTGTTGAGATGCGTTTCAGACATCATATATTGGCCTCTGTGATGAGATCATACCTTATCCTACTTCAAGGAACGTGGTTTTGGCAGGTTGCATTTATTCTGTTCAATCCCATAGAAGGTGCATCACCATGGAAACAGGATGACCATCAGCATATGATGATAGCAACACTATACTTTACGTGGCACTGTGGAGTGAACTTCGTGATTGTGCTTCTTATTGGAGCAGTCATCGCTTGCTGTTATGGTCGTGCAAAGGCGGATATCCATGACGACGATGAGATGAGTATGAAGAGGCTGATCCATACTGGTGCAAATGGACAGACATTTGTCAGCTTGAATGATGAAAGTGACAGTGATGTTGAATTTCAGAAACCTGTTGCCAAATAGCAACTGAAGCACCATCCACGTGTCTGTTTATATTTAAAGCACATTTTGTAAGAATGGCATTGCAATTGTGGTGATAGAAAATGAGATTTGACATGATTTGAATTTAATGCGATGATGTAGTGATACAAAAATATTTCTGACATTTATTTCATGTTATTGTTGGATCTGCAGTATTCCCCACTGAACTTCTTGTATAGATAACGACTGAAGCATCTTAGGGATTTTGTTGCTTTTGTAACCAGCTGGCCAGGGAATACCTCAATCTTGCATTTAAGTTTGTTGATATTTACTGGCAAAGTCGTCTTCTCTTGTTCGTTCACATGAAGCGATACAATGTCGTTTACTTACACCATGAAAAAAATTGACGAAAGTGTAACCCGTAAATAAGCTGAGTCCCTTCTACAGACTTCTTTTTTGGGTCCTCAAAAGTCAACTTATCTACGGTAATTAACGGTACCTTGCATCATAAAGTTGGTTCAGCATACCTCAGCATTCTTGAAGTCTATGTTCAGAGACATTTCTTCCTCAGGAACTTTTAATTTTTAAAAGGGAATTAAAATAATTTGAAGAAACATGTAATCAGAGAAAGAAACAGTACATCACAGGCATTTCAAGTAAATGACTTGAGACAACCAATACCATTTTATTCTCCTAAAGAGACATATAGTTTGTTCCCATAGTGACCAATTGAAGAAAATAACATTACAATATTTTACATGAAGCAAAACTGAACATGTTTAAGATTTGAGACTGGGGTTTGCTATGTGATAATATGTAAGTAATCCTCTCAAGCCAGTAAATATCTGTTTTGACCTACCAGTCTCTACTGATGGCTGAAGTTTGTGGTTGATACGTTGAGAGACCTGGTGAAAATGGGATATTAGGATGATATGATTGTAAACATTTGGAATGTTGATTAGCCTTCTTTCAGCTGCAATTGTTTGTAATACATGTATATGTTATATTTGGGATTACACTTTCTTAGTAAAGTACAAATTCTAGTACTTTTGTTGGGTTGAGTTCCATCCGGGATTCGAACCCACACCCTCAGAGTCAGGCACCTAATCACCAGGACACAGAGTCAGACGCCTAACCTGCTCAGCCACTGCGGCTTCCACCATTCAGCTACTGCTGGCGATTAGGTACGACATGGTTCGAATCCCGGATGGAACTCAACCCAACTAAAGTGCTAGAATCTGTACTTTACTAAGAAAGTGTAATCCCAAATATAACATATGTTACATTTGACCACTTTCTAAATGGCATTGTGTATTCATACAATTGTTTGCTGCATAAAAAAAGGTCTCGTCTTGATCATCAATTTTTTCTATACTCTTGATACAAGACTGATATCTGATGGATAACAACTTCTTGGTTTATTTTTCACAACGTTTCTGGGCTAGTTCTTGGCCTTCTTCAGGTGAAGGAAGAAGGGGCATCTGAAGAAGGGCAAGAACTAGCCCAGAAACGTTGTGAAAAATAAACCAAGAAGTTGTTATCCATAAGATTTGTCTTGTATTACTACACCAACTTCTAAACGCCTTTGAAGAATGTCTATACTCTTGGTTTTCACAAAACCTATTGCAACCTCTTACAATGCCTGTAACTGAGAAGGAGGCACATTTACATTAATTTCCTTGGTGATGTTGATGGCAAGACGTCTGTTATATATCAGGCCATTCATCTTAGACACACTTGCACAATCTTGCATAAATACACCTTGGAAACTTGAAAAGTTTTTAGAACTCCATCTACAGAGATAACGACCCTGAAACCAACATGGACTCTAATCAAAGAATATTTATATGTCTCGATGTTTTACAAAACATTTAACATGGTGGATAGAGTATTCAGTTATGAAAACTTAGAATTTAAATACTTGTGAAAATGGTGAATATTAGGGTTTATTTTGCTGCTGACCTTTTGACCATATTCCTAGTAGGGGTGAAAAGGTATGCTCTTACCACAGTATGGTACGTATTGCGGTACAAGGTCTTTGGTTCGGTCCGCTTCGGTTCGGTATATGAGATTTGATCATAAAACAGAAAATTGACAACAAGAGCCAAACCTTACATTGTTTAATAACATGGAAAAAACCATAACCATAATCCTTGTTATTTTGAATGAACAAAACTGTCATTTTATGACTAGATAGAAAAATGGTATGAAAACCGAAAATACAAAATTTTTGGTTTACATTAGGCCAGACCAATTTTATTTCATGTTTTACAGATTTTTGTCCCCAGAAAACCGAAAGGCAGGGGAAAAAAATAAAACATACAAATCACCAGTCAAAGTAATATTTCTTTTGCATACTAAAAGTATTTTATTTTTGGCAAGTTATGAAGTGTATATGGGGCAAAATAATCCAAAAAAATTTGGGGGTAAGTTTACATTCTTTGCCAAAAGAACTTAAGGATTTTATTTTTCGGAGCGGTGAAAATTAATTTTCTTTTTTTTTCTTATTCTTGGAAAAATACGACCGGCAGATCCGTAAAACAAAAATAAAATTGGTCTGGCCTTATGGTATACCGAACTGAAGGCAAATACCGCGGTTCTACTAATACCATTTCACTCCTAACTGGTAGTGCTATTGCAATTAGTATGCTGGTATTGCAGCAGTATTTTGGTAAAGTGATAACTATCTCTTACACCCTGAGTGGTATGTTTGTTCAGTGGTTAATACGTAACAGTTTTTACTGGACTGTGTTGGGAGAATGTATTGAAAAGACCCTCAACATTGCACTTGTGTTCCGTGAGATGTCAACATGTTTATCTTGATAGTGGTGGTATTGTGTAATTATTATGTATATTATTGTGATACAGCTGCAGGCATGTTACCATATCATATATCATGAACAGATCACTATATATTTGTAATATTATCTTTAACCAGTTACCTTGAAGATTTTAGCATTGTTACATCATATACGATAGTATGATAACTTGTGATATGTCACAGAGCTTGTGCCTATTTACACAGAAATGTAGAAATGCATATCTGTTGCATATCAGTTGCATATCAGTTTTCACTGTTGAAACAGGTCTTGTATATGGATATTAACAGAATCTTCTTGAAAATTCCTTGAGTCCAGTACCATGATGAAATGTATCAGTTAAGTATATTATAAGTTATATCACTTGTAGGTTAGCATACAGGGTTGTTCCTATACTTCATTGTTGGAGGGGTGGTGGGGTAGTCTGGCATTCGCTCATCACGCTGAAGAGCCGGGTTCGATGCCCACGTAGGTACAATGTGTGAAGCCCATTTCTGGTGTCCCCCGCCGTGATATTCTGGAATATTGCTGAAAGCAGAGTAATAACAAACTCACTCACTCATTATCGGAACTCTGCCGAATTTGGTATCCATTTTTTTTTACCAAATTACAGAGTACATTATTATTCTGGCACTTGCAATATCAGATTTTAGGCAGATAAAATATAACTTGATCATTGAATTATTTTTGTAATAAATTTTACATGAAGATTGTATTCTTTTGTATTTATTTGAAAATTATTTAGCAATGTCAGAGTATTTTTCATCTTTTTCGTACATGAAGTCACATTGAGGATGATTAATAACCTTTATTCTTTCTTTACATATTGAATTTTCAAAGCAATAAAAAAAGCTATTTTACCAACTATCGACTTTTCAAGGATATATAAGGTGTGACATAATGATTTGTAGACTGATGATCATTATTACTGTAACAGAGATGCCAACCACTCCGATTTTGGCGGAGTTACTTCGATTTTCAAATTAAAAATCTGCTCTCCGATTTCTCTTAAAACACTCTGATTTTTTACAAAAAATTCTGAATTTATATTACGGTATACAATTTCGTAAGTCACCGGTGATTTATTTGAGTGAACACTGGTAAAAGCATTCAGAAGCTTAGCGTGTGATCCTTTGGGTGTCGATTGTGTATATTGCGTGTTATTGACGATGAAGTTTCACAAAGTTTTTGCCGAATGCATGTCATAGTCCTTATGAAAGTGAAACAAAATGGCAGAGCCGACCACACGCTCACCCTCAACTCGCACCTTTGGTGCTCAGGCCTGGCTTTCAGCCAGTCATGACTCCTTTTTCCTTAGATTCAGGGTTGGCATCTCTGCTGTAATCTGGAACATTTTGTGTTGTTTAGATGTGTGACAGTTTAATGTCAAAGTATTTTTGATATTTTCCATATGTCATGCAAAATGCTTTGTGATTCGAGTGGACTGTTTTAACAATTTGGTGAGAGATGAAAAACAAAGTATGAAATGTGCCCCCTATTGTATTCACTGCATCACAGGGTGGTGGGGTAGCCCAGTGGTTAAGGCGTTCGCTCGTCACGCCAAAGACCCGGGTTCGATTCCCCACATGGGTACAATGTGTGAAGCCCATATCTGTTGTCCCCCGCCGTGATATTGCTGGAATATTGCTAAAAGCGGCGTAATACCAAACTCAGTCAGCCAGTCACTACATCACTAGTGCATGACTTTAAACACTATTCAGATTCCAGTCAGGATCAGTGTTTCATGTTCAAGAATGTCCTAGAGTTGGAAGTATTTAGTCTATTGTTCCATGATTGTCTTACTCATAGTGAGGAAGCTATTGTACTCAATAATAAGGATTTGTTTCAACTGTATGATACTGGAAGTTATCATTGATCATCTGATGATTGTCACCATCATTGCTCCCATCAAATTATGACTTGGCAGTCATGCAAAGCACATATCTGATACCTGATCACAGCACTCTGGGCACGTTTAGGATGTCAAATAAAAACATACATTTACATACATTTTTAACTAAATGTATACCATACATTCTGATGGTGTCAGTTTCCAACATGGATGCAAGTTGCAAAGCTCATTTCTGGTGTCCCTTGCAATGATTGTTTAATATTGTGTGGAAAGAACCCCATCACAATTCTCACTCATACACAATTATGGTGGCCGGTGATCATGATCATTTTACCATTTTAGTTGCTAGCTTGAGTTGTCACTGTGTGGACACCCAGTCAGCCACAACCCTTGTCAAAACATATTAAATTTTAACACCTTTAGACTTATTTATAACTGTGCTTTGTAAATAGCAACACAATATTTTGTGGCAGAAACTTTGGATGATTTTCCAACATAAAGATGTGAGTACATGTGCTAACAGTTTTGGCAGTTGACATGTTCATGACACTGTTTAAGGAGAGTTTCATGGCTTGTTATGTATTGCTGAATAATGTCAGTCTTGGGATGGATGTATTTGTTTGATATATGTTTGTTATAAGTGTACATGAAACTGCTTCATACTTGTTTGGGTTTTCAGACAACTTTCCAAGCAGTAATTCTCTACCTCTAACAACCTACAGATGCCAGTTCTAGTCTTTAGACAAAGGTGACAAGCACCATACACCAGTAGCCAAATAGTGGCACCATTTGTTGTACTGTCTGGGGTTTGGTGACGCATTTCAGGAGAATCTTACAATGGACACTGTTTTCTTCTGATTATGGTTTGGTCACTTTGATCGCACTAAGTTTTAACTGTTACCCAAGTCCACTAATCACATACTTAAATCCAGTTAACAATCAATATGAAGAACCTCTTATTGTGCTGATCAAGCTTGACCAGGGCATGTATAGCTGTTTATTTTGTATGTATAAGTTACTGCGGATGCTGTGATTTAAAGGCTGTTTTTTTCTTCATATCAACATCCATTCCTATATTTACAGCCAGCTACCTTGCCTTATTCTGGTGTGATAAGGGTGGTGGGTATTCTGAAGCTGGGGCGATTACTCACAATTAGTGTTGGGAAACGGAAACCAAATCCACTATCGATTATCGGAGGACTTGTTGTGAACGATCATTGATTATAATAAAAATATATGTCTACATTTTTCTTCTAATCACCAATTTTAAGGGTTTTTCCCCAGGTTTTTTCTAATTAATTTTTTTTATCACTAATACTGTCATGCAATGAAATGCATGCATGCAAGAAAGACACTGGAATTGTAATCAAGCCATAAAAGTGGTTCAAAT